AGCCACTTGCAGTGTCTCCTCTACTGATTTCTGGTCTGTATCATTACCAATGCTGTGAAATACATGCAAAATTTCTGCAATCAGTCATTAAATGTTTTTCCTCTTATTGCTGAAATGTATTCCACTGATGGTCTTCAATTGATGTAAATGATTTGATGTAAATAAATTAAAATCTATATGCTTTTAAATGGTGGCATGCATTAGTGTCAGAATAGCTTTTCACATATGTTTACAAGTTGTCAAATTCAGAAATGTTAATTTCCAGTATTGGATACCATCAGAATCTGGACTTAGCTGCCGTTTGTTTTCAGAGACAGTCTGGCTTGAGTCCAGGTCTGGTTTGTATCAAGGTGTAGATGAGTGAAGGACCTCCCATGTGGAAGTCTATTTTCTGTGTGGAGCAGTTTTACACATCATTTGTAATTGAGATTTAAGATGATTAAAATGACTAACTGTGAATTTGAATGTGGGAGCCATGTGATTGATAAACACAATGATCACAGTGTGTCAGCAGTAACGCTATGAGGAGCTAAATGATGGCTGTGGTGCTGAACATCTCCCTGTTCTACAGTGTGCTGCAGTTGTATTTTTTTTTATTTTTTATGGTGTTTGACAAATGAATTTCTGAAAGTTAAGACAATGTGGACAAAGGGCCTAAATATAAGTTGGGTGTAATCAGAATACATCTGTTCTAACTGTCAGTGTTACAAGTCTGGTCAGGGTTAGAAGTCTTTTGTACAACTGAGTAAGGAAGTAAAACATTCATTCTGTCNCTGGCCTCAGATATTCAGAGGGGAGACGATAACTCTGAGATGTGAGATCCAAGATGGTGGAAACATTCAGTGGGAGTATGAATGGGGAACTACCAGTTCAGAAAAAAACCCAGAATACACTGAACACTGGGTTATCAGTGCTTCTCAGTCCAGTGATGGAGAATACTGGTGCAGAGGTAAACCGAAAAGTGACTCGTTTTCCTCAACAGAGTGGAGTGATGCCTTCAGACTTGTGTCGTGTAAGTTCCTCATCTTTCATCCATATAAAAATTTGATGTTTTGCAATATATGATCTAAATATGCAGAGAACACACGGAAAGAAAAACACTAGTCTTGAAGCAACGGAAGATATTTTTTTTAAAGTTCCTTGCAGTGTCTCCCCTACTGATTTATTTTCTGTATCATTACCAGTGTTGTAAAATACACACAAGATTTCTGCAATCAGTTATTAAATATTTTTCCTGATAATGTTGAAATGCATTCCACTGATGGTCTTCAATTGATGTAAATGATTTGATTTAAATAACTTAAAATATATATGCTTTTAAATGGTGGCATGCATTAGTGTCAGAATAGCTTCTCTGATATGTTCACAAGTTGTCAAATTCAGAAATATTAATTTCCAGTATTGGACAACATCAGAATCTGGACTTAGCTGCCATTTGTTTTCAGAGACAGTCTGGCTTGAGTCCAGGTCTGGTTTGTATCAAGGTGTAGATGAGTGAAGGACCTCCCATGTGGAAGTCTATTTTCTGTGTGGAGCAGTTTTACACATCATTTGTAATTGAGATTTAAGATGATTAAAATGACTAATTGTGAATTTGAATGTGGGAGCCATGTGATTGATAAACACAATGATCACAGTGTGTCAGCAGTAACACTATGAGGAACTAAATGGTGGCTGTGGTGCTGAACATCTCCCTGTTCTACAGTGTGCTGCAGTTGTATTTTTATTTTTTTTATGGTGTTTGACAAATGAATTTCTGAAAGTTAAGACAATGTGGACAAAGGGCCGAAATATAAGTTGGGTGTAATCAGAATACATCTGTTGTAACCGTCAGTGTTACAAGTCTGGTCAGGGTTAGAAGTCTTTTGTACAACTGAGTAAGGAAGTAAAACATTCATTTTGTCCTAATCATTTATTTGTGTTTTCCGCTGTCAACTGAACAGCAGGTGAACCCCGGGCCTCACTGAGAGCAGACAGGAGAATCATGCCAACAGGGGGCAGCGTGACACTGACCTGCTCTGTGGTCGAAGGCTCAGGATGGAAGTATGACTGGTTCAGACGTACCTCATGGTCCTCTACACCTGAGACAATTGAAAATAGGGAACGATACCGCACTATCAGTATTTCACAAGGAGGAATCTATCACTGCAGAGGAGGAAGAGGAGACCCAGTTTTCTATACAAAGGACAGTGAAGCCGTCATAATTGAGAAAAGAGGTGAGTGTAGTGTGTTGTTTAGAAATCAGATAACATGCATTCATGAGTATTATTTTTTTTTATTTTATTTTTTTTAAACTTTCAATTTCTGTTGGGAACAGTTTCCAACAAAGCTGTCGTCACACGGCATCCCAACTGGCCTCAGATATTCAGAGGGGAGACGATAACTCTGAGATGTGAGATCCAAGATGGTGGAAACATTCAGTGGGAGTATGAATGGGGAACT